AAAACATATCTAATAGAAGATTAATGAAAAAATTGGTGTTTCAAGATCAAGTATCGAAAATATCAAAGGTTTTCTTAAGCTTTGAGTAAAACAGAAAAAGTAAGCATACTCATTGTGGGCTCATTTTATGCCTATTGTCAGTTTTTGGCGCACTTTGCGCATCTTTTACTTTTTGATACACTTTGTGTATCTTTCTCAATTTGGCGTCATTGCGTATCTTTTGATTTGGCATCATTGTCCATTTTTTTTATTTGGCATCATTAGCCATTTTTTTAATTAAATATGCTACCTTTCTAAAATTTTGAAAAATAAAAGTAAACTCATTCTATTGATAAAGTGAACTACTTGATTAAGAAAATTATGAGATAGATTCAACAACTTGCAAAAGATCTCTATGCGATAAACAAAATATAGGGAGATGAAAAAGATCAGTTTCAAAATCCAATTTATAATATGATGAATATATTGAATCAAAAGTAAAATACCCTTTTTAAGAAAAGCGATAAAGAGACAAAATCATGAGTTTTCTTCTTCTGACTGTTTTTAAAGAAGTCAATCACAACTTACATAAGAATTCAAGAAAAATAGGAGGTAAGGTTTTTCATTTTTAGAAAAGTAGACCTGTGTGTTGATCAGAGAGAACTTCACAAAACAAGTATAAAAGCTAATTTAAAATTTCAAAGCAAAAAAAAGAACAAAAACAAAGGAAAATTAAAAAAAACATAGAAAATAATAAAAAACAAAACACAACACAAACAAATAAACGCACAAACAAATTTAAACAGTATCTTGCTCTTGGTCTGATGATTCAGAAGCTAGGTCTGCTCAGGAGATTTTTTACTTTACATTACTTGCCCTTTCTATAATTTGCTTAGCTTTAGCCTTTTTTCTTTCAGGACGAGTTCTCAAATTAGGGCACTGATTTTTCATATGTCCAGGCTTCCTGCATCCAAAGAAAATAACGTCAGAAGTAATCTTACCATTCTTACCATTTTTATCTTTATTCCACTTTTGTTGAGGCTTGTGCTTTGATGAGCTTTTTAATTTGCTTGATAAGCGAACACTAACTAAGCCACTTTTCTCCATGTCTTCAGCATTTAGTACTATCGTTTCACATGCATCCAAAAGTTTTTGACCCAAACTTTGCTCGTATGCAATGAGTGAGCCAATCAAATTATCAATAGAATATTTATTCAAATTTTTTTATTCATAAATAATAACAACTTTAGCATCAAACTTATCAAGTAGACAACAAATAATTTTATTGACTTTTTCAAAATTTGAGAACTCCTTTCCTAAGGCATGTAATGATTTAACAATTTGAATAAATCTAGTATACATGTCTAAGATCGTCTTATAAGATTTCATGCAAAAAAGTTCATAATCATGCATTAAAAAATTCAACTTGGATTGCTTGATTTCACTAGTGCCTTCGTATATGGTGTATAATTTATCCCAATTTTTTTACCAGTAGTCCATGTGGAAACTAACATAAAGTTTTCAGAATTTAAAACACAAAACAAACAGTTTAACGATTTTGCATTCAATTGAGCATTAATTTGTTCTTCTCTATTCCATTGATTTAAAGGAATATCAGTTTTAATTCTATCTAAAATACGAGACTGTACAGAATAATCAGTTAAAAAAATATGCCACATACGAAAATCAATTGATTATAAAAACGTAGACATGCAAATTTTTCAAAAATCAAATGTAATATTTTCAAATAAAGGTGGTTTGGTGATGGATTAACCTTCTGCAATATTACGATTACCAAAATTAGCCATGGATCAACATTCAAAAACTTTCAAAAACTTGTTAGGTCTTTTATGAACTGCCCAAGGCTAATTAAGAGAGAGGTGAATTGGTATTTTAAATATCTTTAAAACAAAATTCAAACCAAACCAAAATTCACCCTAAAGAACACAATGCGGAAATTAAATGTGGAAATAATAAAGGAAAGAATACACCAGATTTATAGTGGTTCGATCAAACATTGACCTACGTCCACTCCTCAGAGGCACCCTCCGAGTATTGCACTAAACTAAGTGTCTCTCTTTTAGCCCCCACAGCTAGGCGGAGAGCCCTTACAAAATCACTTCCACCTTCCCCGGTGCGGCGGAGTCGCCAGGTCCTTTGACACCAAAGAGATCTTCTTCTTCTGTGAACTTCTCTCAAGACAAGTCTTGAATCCGACAGTACTAAGGTGTAAGCTTGCTGGAGCAACCGTGTGGAATCCCCCCTCTGCACTCCCTTGAGTCCCCCCTCATAGGATCTTCTTCCTGTCTCAAACTTCACTCTTTCCTCATTCCCTTTCAGGCTCTCTTCAAGTTTCCCCCAAAAGAACGATGCTACAATGGCTGTCAAAGTCCGTTACAAAAGTGCCTTGTCAAAAGCTTAAATAGAAGATCTCAAAACGAGCTCATTAATGTAACTTGCCGATTTTATCGTCCTGACGATATGAATATCGTCCTGACCAATCAGTACAAAATAAGCTCAATCAGCCGGACGATTTGAGACGATCAGAAGAAAATTTGTTACATCATCCAGGCCAATACAATATTGTCCTGGCCGATTAGTTCAAATCTTAGGACAATAGTCCTGATCATCGCCCGAAATAGAGTCTGACCGATGTTAATCATCCAGGTTATCGTCCCGGCCGATCTTTCGATCGTCCTGGCCGATGTGGTCGTATCAATCAGCCTTAATTGCTTTTCATAATTACCAGATTAATTTAGGCATAATTGTGCTGCATCACCCAGGCCGATGTATATATGGTCCTGGCCGATGTCCTGAAATAAAGAATACCTAAATTGATCATGGCGGCTAATTCTTTCTGATTTGAGCCTATCGTCCTGCCTGATGCAAGGATCGTCCAAACCGATCGGCTTAATGACGGTTGCCTTAATGAGGATGATGCCCTAATTAGGGTTTTTGTTTTTGAACCGATCGTCTAGGCCGATATAAATATCGTCCCAGAGGATATTACCAAAAGCAGTAAACTCTAAGGAACAGACATAAAATCTTCCAAGGTATGTGTGTGCAAAATTACATAGTGTCAGGAGCCACACCAATTACAATAGAATCAAGAAAGGAAAAAGGGTACAAGCTGACTCAGATCTAGTCTATCCAATCTTGAGCTGGTTCCCAATTGAGTCTGATCTTGTGGACCTGAAATATCAGTAGATAAGGCAGTCGTAGAGAAATAAAAGTGTTTGCTATAATCAAAATTATAATCCATGAAAACAGATCCGCAACATACCCTCTTGTACATTCTTCTTTAAGTGGCGCTTCTTTCCATTGTTCCAGCACACAACTTTTCCTCTACCAAAATTAGACTTTCCTCTCTTGGATTTAAATCTCAATATGCTAGGATTTCTCTCTAAACCCCTTCCTCTTACTTCAACATTCAAAGCAGAAATTAAAGATTCACTGTTCGCCATCCTACGAACCTCTTCATTAAGCACTAACCCTAAAAAGTCCTCAAAGTTTAGCTTTGAATTTCCTGAAGAGTTACTCATAGTAGTAACAAGCCCATCCCAACTTTCTGGTAATGAAGATAACAACAGCAATGCCCCCACCTCATCATTAAAATTGATGCCAATTGAACACAACTGACTCTTTGCAATGTTCAAGTTGTTCGGGTGTTCTGCCATTTGGGTGTTGTCTAACATCTTCATATTGAATAACTTCTTCATCAAGAACGCTTTGTTTAAGGTCGATAGCTTCTCATACATCTTGGGCAGTGCAGCCATGAGATCAACTGTAGTCTTCTCATTTACTGTGTTGAATGCAACAAATGAGGAAGTGAAAGTCGTCTGAAACCTACTGCATTTAGATCAAGAACCTCCCATTCCTCTATAGTCATAAAATTCGGCTTCTTGGTGATTTCTTTCAACGGTAAATACAACTTTTGATACAACAAATCTTTAATTTGCATCATCCTGAATGCAAAGTTCGAATCATTTTTAATCCTGTACCTTGTACCCAAACCCATGCATGGGGTAAACCCCCCGCACCCCCAGTATACACAACAAGCTTTGAGGTCTGAGACAACAAAATAATCATATTTATCAACATAATCAGATTGCACACATAACAAAATGGCAGCAACGAAGCAGCACCGAAAGAATTGAAAAGCCAACCTTAGACATTTAATTAAAAAGTAATCAAATTAGCATTATTACTAATTAATAATTAACTAATTAATTTAATTTATATAATTTTAAATAATTAAATAATTTATTAGTATTTTAATTAGTCATTTAAATATTAATAATTAATTAGATAATTAAATAATTAGTAGTCTAAATGAGTAATCTAATTTAGCTTAACGAACTAATTAGTAGTATAATTGGGGTTCTAAAATATAATTAGATAATGAGCAATATAATAAGTAATTTGATAATTAATATCTAAATAACTTATTTGATAATTTATAATATAAATTAGCTCATAGTTATATTATTTATCATTATAACTTATTAAAGATAATTAAAATTAAATTTAAAAGGTAAGTCGTTCTTAACATGTAAATTAAATTTAATTTATAAATCTGCCTTAAATTATTTATATTATTTATCATTATAACTTATTATGTTGCCAAATAGTTTATCAGGATTTATTAGGATTTAACATATGTCATACCAAATAGTTTTTAGGATTTAAGACCCTCAGGATTTACTAAATCCGGATTTACAAGATTTACTAAATCCCACTAAAGTAAATCCTACTTGTTGCCAACCCCCTAAAGTTACTTGGCTACCTCACTCCACTCGTACTTTATATACTGGAACTCATATTTTAGTAATAAAAATTTAAAATGTTATAAGAATTACATTTTTCTTTAATCATCTCGCCTCACTTATTGATTTTTATTTTCCCTTGATTTTTCATGCACTAGCATATCATTATCTTTTTACGTGTTCTTTTCCATTCAATTCTTTTACGTTTGATGATCTTGTTCAGGTTCTGTGTTCTTGAACATCTTCATCTTGTAGGAGGTTAAATTTAAAACAACCAGATATAGCGTAAATTTATTTTCTAAATTTTTGAACGCTGCTCCTTTTGTTAGTCAAAGGATTGCTTACTGTTGCATTCATCCTCCATTTTGTTGTTGCGTTTCAATAGTGTTAGGAAGGGAGCTTAACACTAGACTTCATTGTCATTTCTTCCCCGAGCTTCATCTTTCAAAATTGTCCCAGGAGGAGAGGGAGTTGAAGCAGGAGAGGAGAAAGCAGTCAAACAGAGAATCTGCCAGAAGATCCAGGTTACGAAAACAGGTATACTGGAGAAAAACATTGAGGTTTTTAACTACCATGTGCTTGGTGTGATACTCATCACAGTTGGGTGGTAGCACGTACGCATTATTCTCTTTGGATTTGGTGCCTTAGATTTTTTTTTCACTCTTTTTCCAGGCTGAGACTGAAGAGATTGCTATCAAAGTCCGAACTCTAACTGCTGAGAATACTACCCTAAGATCAGAAATTACTCTGTTAACTGAAACTTCTGATAAACTTAGATTACAAAACTCTGCTCTAATGGTACTTCCAAATCCTCTAGTCGTACTTTTTTGTCTTCCCTAGTTTCAAGTATTTTCTGATGTCTGACACATAATTGAGAACATCCCAATGCAATACAGTAAAACAGATGACTTATGCTTGCAAATAGTTTTTGCGAAAGGGATTATAACGACTTAAAGAAAAGTTATTCATGATCAAATCTGATATGATCGGTTTCATCATGCTTTGATTTGCAGGAGAAATTGAGGATGGTGCAACTAGGTCATGAAGAAGATACGATGGCTGACAGAATATATGACAACGAGGCACCATCTATTGTGATAAAGAATCTTTTATCGACAATAGATAACTCCAGCCCTACTTGTGGTGCCTATCAGATGGAGGATGATGAGTCTTATGACAGCTCCAGTGGCAAACTGCATCAGCTCCTTGATTCAAATACTAAATCAGATTCCTCAACTGCAAGCTGACATTACTCAGCTATTTGATAACAAGGTGATTCTTGGTATGAAAAAGTGGCACTGGGAAACTACTAACTGTCAAGGTATGTGGAATGGATTGAGGCATTGTTCAACTTGGGTTGAAATATTCTCAACGAAAAATGGAAAGAAAAGATTGGGATGATATCCCCTCATCAAAACTTATGATTTAAGTTTTGTGGATGAATATTAACATATTTTTTACTCCGACTTTACTTATTTGTGCACTATAACATATGTAAGATCCGTTCATGGTGTTTATGTTTTTCAAACCCATGTTGCCGGCGATCATAAATCACATCCACTGATGTATATTTAAGTTGAAAGAAAGGTACAAGGCGTGATCAGCTTCTGTTATGACTACCAGAATTTGATTTCTGTTAATATTTGCAATGAGTTGGAATTCTGTTCCAATTCAAATTTAAGCATTTAATCAAGTTGATATGCATGCATTACATTAGATATAAATTAAATTGAGTCTAAAACTTTAATTATATTTATTTAGATATCAAACATCCAATATAAGTCAAAGGGCTAATTAACATCTACTCTAGATGTTGGCCCTATTCTAAAAAACTTATCTTAAATAACATCCCTACCAGTCAACATTAAAAGACTGCACTTATGATTTTGAAGCACTTAGGTGGTTTAGCTGGCTCCCCAATCCAGACCGGGATAAATCCAGATTTGCATTACACTAGTTAGGTTAGGGTCACTGATTTTCAGTAACTCATTAAGACTTAGGTTCTGAGACAGGCTCAGGCTATAAGACATCAATCTATGAGAATTGAATTCCAATTTTTTAATAAAATTGATCATTGAAACTTAAATTGATCATTTTTTAATAAGATTTCAAAGTCAAATATGGGCTTTGACATTTCACCACAAGTTAATTGGTGAAATGAAAGAGTCAAGCCCAATTTTTGAATTCTTTATATCAATTTTATGAACCTACATGATTAAATAAAACTCAATATATTGAGTCACAAAATTTGAAAAAGATCCATTCGACTTTAACCTCGAATTCAAACTTAAAATTCAACTTTAAGTTCAAACTTGAATTCAATTTTTAAATTCAAATCCGAACTTTGACATTTTGCCCCAAGTCAATTGGTGTAGTAAAAGAGTCAGGTTCAACTCTTAAGCTCCACTCATCAATTTTATGTACCACCATGTTGAGTATAAACTCAACATGATTTAGTTATAAAATTTTAAATAAAATCAACCAAACTTAAAATTCAAAGTCAACTTCAAATCAACTAATTCAAGTCACCTTTCTTAATACCAAGAAATTAAGCATACTCAAATGGCTGGAAAACACATCTTCTCCATCGATAGAAACTTGATAGTTGAAGAAATCATCTATGGAAACTCGATCCAGTTTGAAATGGAATTTCAAAACTTCAAGTTATCGATCAACAGAGAGGAAATGTTTGATTTGTCCACTGTTACTCAAAGGGATGTACCCTTTGTATAGATTACTTTAGGATCAGGAATTGACTCCTCCATCTCTAAGATGGAGGTCACTATCACCCCTTTACCCATTGTATCCTCTACTTAGGAGGATAAGAACCAAAGGTCAATAATGATAGAAGAGCTACCATCTCAGTCTGAGATCGGGTCAAGTTCTAGCACCCCTATCACCAACAAAAATAAGACAAAGAACTACATTCAAAGAGTTAGAAAGAATGAATATTAAGGCCAGAAAGACCGCTGAGTCGGAAGCCTTAGAGAAAACCAACTTTGAGGCCAATCAAGAGTCCGTTGCTCCTTCCATGTACCCCGTCCTTGGTAGAAATCATTTCCACCCTCTTACTGTCGCACAAAGGAGGGTGGTTGTGAGGATGAGAGCACGATCTACAATACACCTTTTTGACTACTACACAGAAAGATTCAAATAAGCCAGAACTGAGCAATCACCAGCAATAGGCCATAGGCCCCCAATTGAGGGTTATGACCCTTCCACCCTACTAGAAGATGTTAAGGCACATTACTATTGTCTCACGACATCACCTACAAAGGAAGTGTAAAATCTACTTGGGGTGCCATTCTCTTAACTATTAAACCATTAGTAATTTGAGAGGGGAATTAGTCTAAGATTGTATCATATAGTGATACCGTCAAATTTTAAACTTTAAATGGGGTCTTATCACAATAAATATTTTGATTAAAGTAATGCTGCAACTTCTAAGGATAGTGTAGACCCTATAACAGTCTCTGCCCTCTTGAGAGATTGTAGGAATCTAATTCCACTTTGTCAGGGCTTTGCCACCTAGATTTATAACTTTTTAAGGAAAGCTTCCAACTCCTCAAGTGTACTAGATCCAGATTTTCAAGATAGTTGATTTATCTATTTTAATGGAAATTGATCTCTATTTTGAGTCTTAAGTAGTAGATGGTTGTAGTTGACTCCATCAAATGTTTAAATGTCCCTTCCTCCCACCGCTTCAGTGGGGTGATTTAATTATTGAACTAAAATCAATATCAAACTTAAGTTGACTTAAGAAATAAAGATTTTCTCAATCTTCTTGCAAGTTTCTATCTTCATAGGCATCTCTTGCATACTTTGAATTTATTTAAAGATTTTCCTAGTCAAGTCGACATTCCCGTCAAAAGATTAGGTTTGATTTGAGGATTATTCTTCCTTGTATAAGAGAATGACTTTTTTTCTCTAACACTTGAGATATAATCCCAGCATTCAAAAAGAAAACAATCATTTTGAGATATTAAAGAAATTTAAGCCACTTCTCAAAATGACTTGAAATCAAAAGATGTGCATATGCGCCAAAAAATCAAGAAATGCATAAAGTGCACCAAAAGTAAAAAAGATGTGTAAAGTGCACCACCATAAAAGAGTAAGAGGCTTTCCTTTCTTTAAATACTTAATTTTAAGAAAAAAAAACTGATCACATTCAAATACTTGACTTTAAAAATCTTGAATCCAGATTCTCACCATGCATGAATTATCTATCATATAGAAGAATATCATGCAAGAGAATTGAGAAGATCAAATTTCTACTTCCGACTTAAATCCTTATAGAAATGATTTTAATTAAAAATATATTTAAGGGAGACCCTAATTTAGTTTCTAGGAAAATTGGTATGGGTCAACAAAACATAAATCCTTAAACCTTTTCAAGGTTAATTGGAGTCACTCAGCCTCTCATTATTCTTCTAAATTTGTTCCCGCTTGTCGTTCTGACAGGGTTCAAATAACTAAAGGAGATTTTTTGATAAAAAGATTGAATCTTCTACTCCTAAAAAGAATTTTAATCCTATCCTTGAGAAGTGTGTGAGTACTTACATGTAGGCATCTTTTTCTTCAAGGCCTTCTTAATAAAATTACACTCTATATTAGGTCCAAGATCAATCCCACTAGAGGAGTACTTAATAATATTGGGAATGTCTGTTCGAGTTCAAATCATGACTAAGTAGAGTGCCCGACTCTAATTGGAGGAGCTTAAGGCCTTACATAGCTTTGTCTTTAAGGCTCAATAAATCTCAGAATCGTTTAAAGCCCGAGTGGTTCAAGCCTATGATAAGATAGTGAGAATTAGAACCTTCTAAGTAGGAGACTTGGTCTAGGTTCTTCGGATGCCTATCTTAGCCTACCGAGATTGGTAGAAGAGGTTAAACCAATATAAGATTATCAGAGTATTGTAGAGACGATCTTTGAGAAAATTTCAAATATTAACTGATCAATCCTGAATGATGCCACCCAACATTTTCAAACGTCAGGGCAGCTCTTCAGGAAATACCATGCCATATGAGTATCAAATTCAACATTAACAAAAACTCTATGATTTCTTGGATTAAAAAAAATTTCCAAAATTCAAAAATCAAAATTCAAAATTAAATAAAAAATCAAATTCAATCCCCTTCAAATTCTTAATAAAATTCAAATTTCAAATTTTAAAATCAAATCAAAACTCATATTCAAAATCCTTCAAATCAAAATTATCAAATCAAGTTTCAAATTCAAACACATTTAAATTTAAAATCAAATCTATTCAAATTCAAAAATCATTCAAATCTAAAATTCTAAAAGTGAAACTCGATCCTCTTTGTAGAGCAAGTTTTCTCTACATATGATCATCCAGACCCGATCCTCTATATGGAGTAAGTTTCCTCCACATACGATCATTCCAGACTCGATCCTTTGTGTAAAGCAAGTTTCCTCTATACATGATCATCCAGACCTGATCTTCTATGTGGAGCAAGTTTACTCTTCATACGATCATTCCAGATTCGATCCTCTGTATAGAGTAAGTTTCCCTTACATACGATCATCCAGACCCGATCCTCTATATGGAGCAAGTTTCCTCCACATACGATCATTCCAGACTCAATCCTCTTCCTTCACACAAGATCTTCCAGTTTTATCTTCCTTAAGGTTATATGTGAGTCATCATGCTTTCTTTCCTTAGGATTAGATTTTCTAGTGATGGATCACGCCCTTTGTGTCACCATCCTAGTTTTCAAAATCTAGATTTGATCTCCTATGGGAATAAATGCTTCCTTCCTACAGGGTCCTCTAGTTCTCTCTTCCTTAAGGATAGATGTGAGTCATCGTGCTTTCTCTCCTTAGGATTAGATCTTCTAGTGATGGAGTACGCCCTCTATGGCATCATCCTAATTTCAAACTCTAGATCTGATCTTTTATGGGAAGCAATACTTCCTTCCCACAAGATCATCCAGTTTTCTCTTCATTAAAGTCAAATGTGAGTCATCGTACTTTCTCTCCTTAGGATTAGATCTTCTAGTGGTGGAGCATGCCCTCCGTGGCACCATCATAAATTCAATCTTCAGGCCCGATCTTTGATGGGAAGAAAATGCTTCTTCATAATGAGATCATCTATTTTTCTTTTCCTTAGGGTTAGGTGTTCTCTTTCCCCTAAGAATAGACTCACCAGTTTTAATTTCAATTTCAATTCCTTGAATTCACTCTTTCTTTCTTTAAGGTAGGACATTTCCTTCCTTAGGATTAGATCTACTAGTGATAGAGTACCCCCCTCGAGGCACTACCCTAGTATTAAATTCAAATTCGATCATCTATAGTTAGGAATTCTTCCTTCCTATACGATCATTTAAGTCTTCACTTCCTTAGGATTAGATCTATTAGTAGTAGAGTACGCCCCTCGTGGCACTACTCTAATATCAAATTCAAAATTCAATCATCTAGGGTTAGGTCTTTCCTTCCCTTAGAATCAAATTTAAACTCAATCCTCTAAGGCAGACCTTTCTTTTCTGTAGAACCAAACCTAGACTCGATTCTCTTTAGTTAGGAATTCTTCCTTCCTTTATGATCACCCAGGCTCCTTTCCTTAGGTTTAAATATATTTTTTCCTTAGGACCAAACCCAC